GGCCGGCGGGCTAGAGTGAGGAACGGCCGGCGGCCTAGAGTGAGCGGCGGCCTAGAGTATGCGGAGGCAGGCTTGAGTGAGCAGGGGCGGGCAGGCTTGAGAACGGCACGGCCGGCGGATTTGACGGAGGAGCGTCCGGCTGGGCTTGCGGAAACCACATGTGACGACCCCGGGCTGGACTCCGCTTCGTTCACGGTGAAAGCCGTTTAGGTAGGTGTGGTTGACTCTTAACTTTTATAAAGAATATCTCTTTGGATTTGAGACTTTAGTCTTTGCAACTTTACAGATCTTCTTTATGCACCAAGAGCTTGTAACACTTCAAAGAGAAAGGAAAAATTGAAATCGCATCATATGACCCCTTTAATGTATCATGACAAATTACTGTAGCGCCTCAGTTCAAGCGGCACGTGAACAGATAATTTCTTCCTACTAGTTATAGCATGAAATAAACATGAATGAACATCCGAAGGCGTGTCGTTTTAACCACGGAAAGACGTCAATACACACCAGTTTTTAAGTTCAAATCCACCAAATGTAATCTACTAACTTCCCTATCTGGTTTGTTTGTCTAACAAAATGGCAGATTTAGCGCTATAGTTGGTCAGATCGCCTGTCAATCAAACTCCCAGCAAAGGGAATTTTAAAATGAAATTGAATTTAATGTTATTTACTAAATATATCTAATTCTTTTCAGCCATTATTATTATAATTCCACTAGAATGTGGGCCGAAAGTGGAGTGTGATTTGGTCCATGAGCATAACTTTATAATATGCGCATTATTATTGGACCCTGTGGTTTGTCATGTCTGTAAAATGTCTGTTTCTCTCCGCTGTGGAAATACATTCAATTAAGACACACTTCTCAATTAAGAAGTGTCTTGTAAAGTGTCATATATATATACACGTCCACCCCAGCATCTACTCTGCACCCCAGCATCAAATCGATGTGACGTGACAAATCATCAAGACTTTCTACACTACAAGCAAGTTGTGTGATGGAGCAAAACTAGAGCGGTGTACACATACTTTTTGAATATATAAAGGGTTTTTGTCCTGTTGTGTCACTTGGTTGTAGTGTAGACATGGAAACTGCAACTGAACTGTTAAAAACAATAACAATGTTGTTGAGGATAGTTATGTCTGCTGATAACCTCATAGGGAGCTGAATTTGAGGCTTTGAGTATCCCCGATCGATTTCCTCACTCTGTAATGAAAATAACTAACAAACTGCAAAGAACTGACAAAAACAAAGGTATAAAAAGATACAGAATAGGGAAAGAGAGAGCCCATGACTAAATGACAGATCTTAGAGGAATGTGTGCTCATGGAAATCTTCTAAGCTAAGCAAACCGTTCTGAGGTAGACGGGAAAGAAAAGTTTAATTACACTTAGAAAAATAAAATCATCACCACAAGAAAGCGCTAATTTCCGTCTACTGGACCACCGTGTGTGTGTGTGTGCATGTGCATGTGCGTCAGCGTATGTAATAATGCTCTGTTTCACTGTTTCTCTTGGGCGAGTTCCTTTCTATAAATATCTGTCGCGTGTTGTTGATGATTCTTGATAATTTCCTTTTCCTGTTTTCTGGCAGTGGGCACAGTAGCTGGCACAGTGCCAAAAGAGCCCCAACAAAAGAACAGCATAATATATATGAGAGCGAATTCATTTTGACACTTTACAAGATACTTAATTGTGTGGTTTGGCCTTAATCGACTGCATACACTACATGCCACAGTGGAGGGAAACAAGCATTTTACAGACATAAGAAACCACCAAGTCAAAAAATAATAGGCATATATTATAAAGTCATGCTCAAAGGCCTAATCTAATTTTCTGGCCCTAATGGAAATATAATTATAAGTTTTATATGTACTTTTAAAAATAATAAATAAATGGCTATATATATATATATATATATATATATATATATATTCCCAAATTCACTTAAGACTTGTAAAGTTGTAAAGTCTTATGGCAACATGCTTTTGGAAATCAGAGGATCAGGTGGCTTACATCTCATGTATGGATATCATATCCTCATCTTACTTTCATCCACACCTAGTGTCATTTGAAAATTACACTGACATATCAGATCATGTTACAGCAACATATGGAGCTGATTCATAGACTGCACGTGTGCACACACGCACGCACACACACACACAGTGACCCTTCACAAAAGAAAACCTCTGTTCCCAACTCAACTCAGTCTGTCTGCAGTGATGGAGATGATCTGTGGCTGATTAGTCTGGTCTGAACTCCACCCATGAACACCTGGTTTCTTTCAGATGCATAAGGAACTCTTAAATTCATAATAAATAGAGAAATGCTGCCATGACAACATAACTGGCAATGATCAGGACAGAAACTAAGAGACAGGGCTCAACAATAAGGATTTTTTCTGTGTGCCCGGACAGGTCAGTAATTCAGAATTCTTGATGCTCTGCCAAAATTTTCAATTCTCTGCCCAAAATTTCTAATTCTCCAAATTTTCAATTCAGTTTTAAATTAGGGTTGTGACGGTGAGGAAATTTTGTGAAATTTTGGTGTTAGTTCGTTTGAGTTTCCCTCTTTTCTTTACTTTCAAATGGCTTGTAAAAGTGCCGTGCAAATTTTACTTTCACTTTCAAATTAGCGGCAACTGCCGCAATTCGGCGTCAAGCAATTGTTCGTTTGAGTTTTCCCTCTTTTCCTCGGATTTCTTGGCTTTCAAATAGCTTTAAAAAGCGCCGTGCGCGTTTTACTTTCACTTTCAAATTAGCGGCAATTCGG